TTAGTTAATAGTATGTCTATACGAAGTGTGTTACGTTTGTGTGTGTGTGTGTGTGTGTGTGTGTGTGTGTGTGTGTGTGTGTGTGTGTGTGTGCGCGCTGGTGCTAAACTGGTGCTGGAGTTAAACGTCCCGCCGTCTCCTGTAGTGACCGCAGGCTGCTACGTTTTTAAACACACCCCTCTGGCCGACATCTCCTTAAAATTAAGTCTGAGTTGGAAATATATCTCAAATAATGTATGCACTGTCATTTCCCCACGTAAACATAACAGTCTGCAATTAAATGAAATGGTTGTCTCCTGTAAGCTCCACTCCCTCCTTGGCGCACCGGTAACTTTCTCCAAAAAAATAAAGTAAAAAATAAAATAAAGTCAGGATAACGGACCCGTTTTCCTGACTTTATTTTTTTCTCTCTCTCTTTATTTTATTTTTTTCCATGTCCCTTTAGGCCGGGGCTCCATATGTAATAACTTCTGGTTTGGTAAAAAGTAGCCTACAGAGATTTCAGTTCCTTTTTCTTATACCAAATTGTACGGGATATAGTCTGTTCTGTCAAACTCCAAAGTAAAAATATTTTAAAATAACATATTAACAAGATACATTTTCATACTGACCTTCTACTTCTGATGTATTGTTTAAGCCCACGACGGTAAATCCACACAAAATGTACCAATGTCCACCTATTTTACACCTCCCCTGATCTACTGTTAACGCAGGCTTTCCTCTTTGAGGACTGAGTGTGGAGAGAAACCGCAAAGTTTATATATTGAGAAAGAGGGTTTATGTAAGGGGAAGCCCGGTGACCACAGGAAGCAAGCTTAAGAACATTTGGTTGTAATGTAGCTGTTGTTCCCAGGTGCGGAAAAAAAATATACAGTAGCCTACTATTAGTTATAAGAAATCAGCTGTTTATTAGGCTGTTCAAGATTCTCACCTAAAGAGGGAAGACACTCCTCAGATGTCTTAAAGGTGACCTATCATGCAAAATGCACTTTTGTACGTCTTTTATACATGAATATGTGTCCCCGGTTTTCCAGGGAACTCACCAAGTGTCAGAAAACACAACCCTCTCTATTTTCCTCCATACCCAAATTTCTAAAAGAAAAGTGGCTGCAACGGATCTGATACAGACTGATCCAGATTTGAACACTTGTATCACGTCACAGAATTGGCGCTACGGCTATTGGGCCAACTCCACCAATCAGGAGGAGACAACCACGGACATTGCCGTTCGAAAGCACTGGAGACACTGTAGTACATATTTCAGGCCACCAGATGGTGCTGTTCTCACTGAATCCGAGCATGAAAGACTGTTAAATTGAGCGAAATGAGGAATGGCTAAAATGCATGATCTGTTTGGTATTTTGAAAAATAAAAAGTATAAATAGGTATGGTCCTACACTATATTATTCAAATATAGCATGATATTGTAGGTCCACTTTAAACACATGGGACATCGTAAAACAGTAAACACAAAAACATACAGTACTATTTGTTATTAGTTATTAAAAACAAATTAAAAACTGCATTTATGCAGTTCAAGGGATAATTCTCACCCACCTTTTGCTCTTGCCCTGCACTTGTATGTGCCAGTTGAGATGGTTCTTCCACCAGCTCAACTCTCTGTCCCTCATCATGGACGCAGGACGCTGGCTGTATATCTGAACTCGCGCCCTCATCATTCTCTTCATCATCTTGCACTTGTTCTAAGCTGCTGATGACAGTGCTTGTGGTGCTGCTGTCAAAACGATCTGTCAATTTGCGACATTTATATGCTTCACCTGCGAGTGACTTCACCTTTTTTTCTCTTGCCTTTCGGCCCCACCTTTTTCTTTTCGTTTTCTTTGATTTGTATTTTCATTCTCCCTGGCCGTTTCTCAATGTCGAGTAAACCTGCTGCAGAGCCACTATTTCAAGCAGCCTATACTACGTCATCGAGTGGCACCGAAGGACTGTTTGAGGCCCTTTCCCAAACCGTCCCCCTACACCCTACCCCTACATCAGTGGTTCTCAACTAGTCAGGCCTCGGGACCCACTTTTTACTTGGTCAATACATCGCAACCCAACATTTTGAAGCACTCAAATCGATTCAACAAAAAAACGTGCTGTAATATATACGCTTTTCAGCATACAATATGAATAAAAGTGAAGTACAGTGCATATATCCCTTATATCCCTTCACAGAACTAAAGTATGCTTTTAAAAAAAGTTTAATGAGATGATGGAATCAAAGCTGAACTATATAAAAAGGCACACATGCTGAAAACCCAACCAAAGGGGGGTCTGGGGGGATTCTCCCCCAGGAGATTTTTAGAAATACTAACATAAACTATTCTGGTACACTCTGAGAAGAAAATAAATACATTTATTACTACCCGACATATTAATAATATTTTATGCCATTGTTTGTTTTTCGCTTTGTTCTGACATCTTGCTGCGAGAAGAGTAAAGAGGAGATAGTCTGTGTGACTTACTTTAAATTGTGGATAAGGGTAGATAGCTCCAATTGTTCTGTGACCTGTCAATCATCAAACCGGGGGTCATATTTCATTATGTGTTCATTTTTATCTGAAGTTGTACCCATGGAAGAAGAGTTCTAAGTTATTTTCCGTGGGGACTTCCGGCAACAATCTTGATTCTGATTGGCCAGAAGACTCGAAAAAACATCAGCAAAGATATTTTATTGAGAAGATGATCACTACGTGACAGAAGTTTTCAAAACCGTTTATGGTCTCCGGTACTTCAAGTCCAACGCCGACTGCATGCACAGCGTTAGAAAATCGGGCCTTCAAAATAAAAGTTTGACTCTCCCCCCCCCAGAAAAAAAAAAAAGAATTCCAATTTTTTTTTTCTTTTTTTTTTCTTTACTAACACATCCGCGACCCACTCGAAGCGGGTCTGCGACCCAGTTTTGGGTCGCGACCCACCAGTTGAGAACTGCCCTACACCCAGACCCTCCGTTTTCAGCTTTTCACACAATTTGCAAACCACTGCACACGTTTCTCCACGTGAGACACAGGAATCTGACATAAAGTCATGTGTTAGCAGATTTAAAACACTGATATTCAAAATGCATCACACATGGACCAAATATCAATAAACACGTTCCACCTGACCAAACACCTGATAGCATAATTGTTGGCTCATCAATCAGGATGTTTGCACTATAAAAAGACCACAGGTGAGTACTTTCTTACAGCAACAATGGAAGCCAACATGGAAGCATGAGCAAGAGGAAGAGGAAGAGCTGGGCTGAGAATGAGAGGAGGAGGAATGAGAGGTAGAGGTGGAGCTGGAGGGAGAAGACGTTCAGAAGGTTCAGCCTAATCTAAGCCGATTTACTGTTGCTTCTGTAATCCGGACACTTAGGATGCAGGATGTTTATACAGTTATACTAT